CATCACCACATCAAAGTACTTAGCAAAGTCAGGACCAATGCTTAGGGCAATATCTCCAAACACAGACAAAATCTGTGGTTTTACAGATCGATGAATTGATGGATCTCCAAGATTTTCCAATAACAACACTATAATTTCATCACAGTATGGCAGCACCTGTAAAATTATTTTTGGAGTTAATTTAGTTTTGTCAAATTTATATTTTAAGTTCACTAGAAAATAACACAAATTATACTTACTTTACTTTTCAATGCGCGACAGATGTCTCCAGTGAGTCCAACAGCTGCTATGCAAACTTGATATTCTTGATGATTTTTAAGCCCAACATATAGGTATCGCTTAAATGCATCCATGTATTTAAGGAAGCCTTCTCCTAACACCTCAACCAGTGTTGAGACTGCCATCAAAGCATCTTCTTGAACTCCACCAGCTTTTCCCGCATTGCCAGCAAACATAGTCAACAGAGCAGTCATTATGGCATCTGATATTTGTGGAGCATCTTCTGGAGTTACCTTACGGAGTACAGACTGCAATGTAGCACACAACAGACTCTGGAGATCATTAAATTGTGAACGATCAGCTTGACTGGAGATATGGTTCTCCATTTGTAATACTTGTTGGAGTCTCTCCAAAATAACCATAGTTGTTTTCTGCACTGTTACGTAACAATCAGTAGGAGAGTTCTTAACCATTTCCATAAGAGCCTCATATGCAGCTGATCTTAAATTATGTTGTGCTGCATCTTGGCGATCAGTAGTTTCAAGAAGCCGCTGAACAATAAAATCAAAGTATTTTGACATGCAATAGGTTTTAGGTTGATTGGAATCTCCACAATCGGCTGCTTCATAGGCAGCTTCTGCCAGTCCTGTAAAAGCCCAGCAAACATTAGCAGCTACACGTGGCTCTGCTTTCAGTCCATTGACAAGACTTTCCAACAGTGGTTTCAGGTAGGTTTCATTAATAGCAGCTTCAGGAACTATTTCACAAATTCTTCCAAATGTCCAGGCAGCTGTGTCTCGCACAGCCACACTAGAGTCATACATGGCTTCAATCAGAGTTGGCATAGCCTTTTCCACTAATGGCTTCAGAGTATTTGCTTCAAGTCCACCAAGAATTGAACCAAAGGCCATCAAAGCAGCTTCTCTATACCGCCAATTTTCGTTTTTGATATTAGAATTAATAAAGGGTATTACATGGGGAACCACTTCATCTTCACAGCAGTTTGATAAAAGCATGAGACAAACGGATGCAGCTTTAGATGGATTCCATTCTAATTCATCTTCTGTATCATCTTGTTTAGTTAATTTTTGCATAAGGACAGGTGCAAGGTATTGCAAGGCACCTCGAGCATAAAATCTTGAAGTACGAGCTGGCGGTCGTCCTGTGGAAAGTCATTATAAAAATTAGATATTTTAACACTTCAACAGAATATTTTAAATAAGGCCTAGGTCCTGTTCTAAGTTACGTAATTTTGTGACTTACCTGCTTCAGCTGCCTCCACTTCTTCAATTGCAAGATCAATTTCTTCATCACTAACATTAGACCAAAATTCAATGCCTTGAAGTGAAATTTCATCAACATCAGATTTCATAGCTTCTAAAGTGATTGGAAATAGTGCTTGACCCATATAAGGCTCCATATATTGATAGTACAAAGAGAGAATTTTGACCTAAAATAAAAATTCATTTTATTAGCCTGTATTTACTAAAAACTAGGTTATAATTACTTTTATAGAAAAATTATTGTGATACTAACTAAGCATTGAAGAGCTGCAACACTAATTCTCATGTCACTTGACTGTGTGGCTTCACATACAACTTCCATTATGAAATTCCTCTCATTTTCTTTATCAAAGTTTGCTTTTGTAAATTCTAATGAGTTTAGTAAAGCTTGGGTGGCAGCAAGACGAACATGGTTGCTGGTTTCAATAGATCTCATTCCATGAATGATAGCGGTTAAAATGGGGTTGCTTTGTTCCGTCAAGACCTCTGCATCAATTTCTTGGCAGATGTAACCTGAAAGCAAAGTTTTGTAGTTGTTGAAAAGCATTATTGTAACATTTGTGTTGTGGAGTTTGTTTATCAACACAAATCAATAAGTGTGGGTATAGGTATAAATAAATAGGTATTTACCAATTGCTTCTAATGTTGCTTCTTTTTTGAGTTCTGTAGATTGAGCATTGACAACATTTTCTACAAGGATGGGTATCAGATCATTCCACTGTCCTACAGGAAGTTCTGCTACTGCTACATAGGCCACACATTGAGCAGCTGAACTAGGCCTACTATTCTCAGTTCCAATTGCTGTTAGAATCTAAAACAAATTCTTTCTATTAGTTGTTGCTTTAATAATGTACTCCAAGTTTTAAATTATAAATATACATACATTTTTCTTAATATATAATCTGATGTCCTCAGGAAGAGCTAGCCACCTTTGTTGGTATTGTTGTTTTAGTGTAGGATCCTTAGAAGTAAGGTGGTTTTTCAGCTGTAAACCTGCAGCCATCCTAGCCACCTGACTGTTTCCTCCCGCAACGAGGACATCAGACAACATTTTGATAAATGTTGTAAAATTGGTAACAGCTGCATGGTCAAGGTAAGTTTCTGCAGCTTCCAATTCATTTCGATCTGTAAAATACAAATAAGACTATGGGTAAAGTTAAATAATCAGAAATCCAACCTAAATGTGGGAGAGCCATGTTTCAGCATGGATGGGTCGGCTCGACTGGAGTGATACCAAGGCCTCACTGAAAACTATGTGAAACAAAGCTTGTGTTGTGATTCATTGTGTGAGTGAGGTTACCAGAGGCCTAATTACCGTCCCCCCACCACAATCCCTGTATACCCAACAATCCCCAAATTCCTTCCTTATCCCTAAAAGGCCGGTAATGCACTTGTTATAGCACTGGTGTTCCACGGTGTCCATGGGCAACGCTGATTGCTTACCATCAGGTGATCCGTCTGCTCGTTTACTGGCTTATCCCATAAAAAAATCCAGTTTTTATCAATCACTAATAAAATAGTAGCCATTCCCATAATATGTTGATATATCATACTTGATTTCCCAAAAATTTTTTCATATAAAAGTAGTCTCAAAAATCGGAAATAAGGTCTATAATGGAGTTAGTTGAGAGCAGTCACCGGTGACCGCATGAGGATTGAGCAGGCAGTTAAAACCTAAAACTTCTCAATAAATTATCTATTTTCAGAAAGATTAGTAATTTTTTGTTCTCTATACCGTATGTCATAATTGGATTTACTTTGTACTATATAATATGATTTCACTAATTAATACTGAATTTATAAAATTGGTTTGGTCAATATACAAGTTTTATTTTGAAACATTTGATCATAATTTTTGATAATGATTGTTTTAGGACAGTGCTGAATCTTGAGTAGGTGTTGTAGTCAACATTCATAGACTAGGAAGATAATATAAATATAAATGAAAGAATATAAAACATCAATTGAAAATTACATTTGGTGTCTGCAATTGATTTTAATATATGAATAAGGTAACATTATGCCACATACTAAGACATTATAATTTTATCAAAATAATGTTAAATTAGTAAAACTGATTGTTAAACATATATGGAATGTCAAATGTGAAGGATTACAAATTATAACCTTCAAACCTTGAAGAGAACAGTACCAGGCACCAAGAAATCCAGCAGGGATATTGAGTAAAAATAATTAAGATGCGTGTCAAAGTGTCAAATTGTTTACGAACACCATTGCCGCGTACTGTAAATCTTGAATTGTAGGTGAACCTAGAATTTTCCTTACATGACAGCTAGGCATCTTTGTCATCCACATTCAGTCGTCAACGGCTATTTAGTTGAAGAACCTAAATTCATACAATCCTATAACTTAAAGTCTCTGCAAACACTGTTGCACTCAAATACATTTTTTAACAGTTACGTTAAAAGATAAGTCGGTTGACGACCTGAAGCGCCATACATGAACATAAGACGACAAAATGTGATTTCTTACCTGGTGACACAGTCTTTTCTAATATTTGTATAAGTGTTAATGTCGTTTCTGTATGCATTGTTCACACTGTTTCTTCAAAACTTTAGATAATAAAACGGGAAAATGTAAAAATTAGAAACCGGCACACCACCGACGGAAGAACACTCATTGATAAAATGTTACTAGTTGTAAAAATCATAATTATACAGTCAATGTTGTCACACAATACTTGGGTAGCATATTATATTATAGGTACTGACAAAAACATCAAAATAGATTTTACTTCTTAGCAATAAGTTCTACGGTCCTTCCTTGCTGAATATATTAAAATAAATTATCTTCTAACCCTTATTTTATCTCTAACTGAGTAAATAGTCCTAAAGGTCTCAATACGTATTTATTTCTCTTAAATTATTGGCATTAATATAAAGTTTAGGGTTCCTCAGATAAAAAGTAATGTAAATCTCATACAAACTTTCAACCTCTATTTCATCCCTTACCTAAATATTTTTTTTTAAATTCCTGAAACACATAATTACCTATTTCATTTACGAAAGGTATGCAAAGACTTTAAAAAGGGTTTGAAACCCTTATCTAAAACCGTAATCAAAACTTTGATTATTTTACTTATAATACATCCCTTGTTTTGACCGCTTATGAGTAGACTTTTTATTTTAATAAATTTAAATAATAGTTGGCGAATCGTGATTTTTTATTATTAATTTGTAGTAACCATAGAGGTTACATAGATTTTTTTAGTAGCAACTCCGGTTTTCTGAGTCTATTGTCATTGTGTGAAGTGCGCTGCTGTCAATGTCATTCTTTTACCCCATGAACCTCTGTTGTTAGTGGTGGATTTGCTAACCAAAATTTGTAAAAATGGTAATAATCTTGAATTTTTTAAATAATCATGGGTTGAAAATTAAATTTAAGTGCTCGATTGTGATCTTCTAAAACTTGCAGTGTGAATTTATGCTGTATTTTGTTATAATCGGCGTATTTAAACCAAGTGTATGTTTTATTTCAGTCGCTGGTAATTCCAGACAAGTTCCAACATATTCTTCGTATTATGAATACGAATATTGATGGCAAACGCAAAGTTATGTTTGCGATGACTGCTATCAAGGGTGTTGGACGCAGATACTCCAATATCGTATTAAAGAAAGCCGATATTGATCTTGACAAACGTGCTGGAGAATGCACTGAAGAAGAGGTACGTTTTTGGTTAATTTCTAGTAGCAGTAATATCTAAATTCATCGATATTAAACCTATTTTTTGTGTTAATATGATTATTATTATCGTTCAATGTTTGTTGTTATAATAGATACTGGTATCTAATATACAAGTCATCAATCCTTAGAGTTTATAACCTAGGTTATTGTTAGTGGCATATTCTACAGTATATTTAAAATTAGATATTTCTACGCGGTTTCACCCGCTTTTCGGCTCCTATTGATCTCAGCATGGTGTCAATAGGAGTTAGGAGTAGAGTTTTATAGCATAAATGTGTTTTAATATGCTTTCCTCTCTTCTAAAATAAATTCATTTTAACCAGTTTTCCGGACATGACTTATAAACAAACCCTTCACCTATAATTGTATCCATATATATATGTGGCTATTCAGAAAATGTGAAACCCCTTGTAGTGTTTTACATAGAAACTTTTTGCTTGGCAATATAAGTAGATCTAATAGCATGTTATTTTTTTCAGGTGGAAAAGATTGTCACTATCATGTCTAACCCCAGGCAATACAAAATCCCTGACTGGTTCCTCAACAGGCAGAAGGATATTGTTGATGGTAAATACAGCCAGTTGACATCTTCCAACTTAGATTCTAAGCTCCGTGAGGACTTGGAAAGGCTGAAGAAGATCCGTGCCCACAGAGGTATGCGTCACTACTGGGGCCTGCGTGTGCGTGGTCAGCACACCAAGACTACCGGCAGGAGAGGAAGAACTGTTGGTGTATCTAAGAAGAAGTAATCTAATAACAATAAAACCATAATTTCTGCAGTTCAAAAGTTTTATTTGATACTCCATTTGATCTCACTTTATAAAGTTACTATCAAACAATCACTAGATTTTCAATTATAACAATAAGAACTGGCCAAGTACTAACAGTATTAGCCAGTACATACAATTCATAGCATCACAATATTACTCTATTATAGACTAATACCTTAAATTCATAACAGTGAGACAGAATATTTACTTAACATCACAACTGTACATAGGTACTTTACAATCATTTCTAAGAAAATTGGGATACAAAAAAAAATATGTGATGTTTACTGATTTATTGGTACAGTAAGTAGAACATTTAGTATAGTTATTTACAAAATTAGTAAGATATTTGATTATTCATATTGTGCGATAAGCACCATCATGTACACTCCAGCTAATAAAGCCACTATCTCTTTGATAGACTGTGAGAATTTGTTAGAACCTTCTAAGAGTTCAGGTATAACTGAAACAGTGGCAATGTAAATAAAACCACCAGCAGTGAACGGCAAAATGAGAGACGATACAACACTGTCACCTGAACCCCTAAGATATATAGACAAAACTGTGCCAGACACTGCACCAAATGCTGTCAGCAGTTGCAACATCATAGCTTTCCTTCTTGAACAACCAGATTGAACAAGAATTGCGAAATCACCAATTTCATGTGGGATTTCATGTAAAAATATGGTCACAGTGGTAATTAAACCGATGTTCTGGCCTGCAATATAAGAAGCTCCAATTGCCAGTCCATCAGTGAAGTTGTGAGTAAAATCAGCAGCGAGGTTTAAATATCCAGCAATTTTGATATCTTCCTTTTTATCCTTTGCCTTCTTTTTTTGTTTGTCGTCGGATTTTTTTTTCTCGGCTCCATGAGAATGGCTATGTCCTCCATCAAACAGGCGAACAGTTTTCTCCACCACTAAGAAAGTGATAATACCTCCTAAAACTCCAAGCCCAACAGTGACATCATGGGGTTCATGTTCTCCGCCGTCGTGTGAGTGACTATGGCTGTGTCCTCCTGTGCCACCACTAGACATTAGCGCATGTGGTATTAAATGAAGAAACGCATCACCGAGAAGACCGCCAGACGCGAAAGACAGTAAAATCTTAAGTAACGGTTGTTTCTCTACTGTCCCATCAATGGGTATGAAAAAAAGGATAAAAAATGGCACTATACTTATAAAGAGTGTTGAACTCAGTGCTCTGACGTATAAGTCGTAATCTGGTTCAGTTATCACTTCTTCAGTTTTGTATTGTTCGTTTGCACTTTTGGAGTATTTGAACGCGGGTGGTTCATTACCATGAGAATGATCATGCGAGTGGCTATGACTATGGCCCAATACTACAATTATTGTGCCTGCTAAAATAAGTCGCAGTAAAAGTCCTCTATTAGGATAAAACATTATCACAAAATATTTGAGTTCGTCAAACGCGATTCACAAACACCAGTCACAAGTCACAACTCAGACTGTCATACAACGGTAAAATAAGATGTAAATGGAATGTCAGCGTCAGCTTGAGTTGGGAGAAAAAAAAACACAAGTAGTGTTACAAAGTCTAAAAATTTTTCTCCCTAAAAGATTTTTGGAAAAATAAAGGTTATTAAATCATTAACGTGTGTCATAAATCATAAATTTTGAATTGTTGGATAACTATGAATAATACAATATTAATATTAAGAACAGTGTGAAATATTTTTATTAGAATGAATTTTATTGTTAATATTTTAAAAATTCAGATCAATATAAAAGTTTAAAAAATAACCTAAAATTACTCCTATAAATAATAATATGTATAGCCCGAAATAATTCCATTTCACTAGAATTGAATTGAAAAACCATAATCTGAACAGTAAAAATCATTAGTTTCGATACGTCTAAGGTAAAAAATGCTAATAGATTTGTCTGTAAGGTAATCCTAAGCCTGTCATACCTCCGATCGTGTCGGTCTGCCGTTCCATTGGATTCAGAGAGTGCACCTATGTTTGCGCATGTACACTTGTGCATTATAATATCATTTCATGAGTCTTGCGTAGTTACACTGGCCACTATGATAGAAATCGTTCGGGAGGTTTTATTTATTTGCAGACCTAGATTATTACGGAATATTGTTGATAATAATCATATTATTATTACTAGAAAAAAATTTGGTCCTTCCCTGATTTGGGGAATAAATTCTTCCAGCTGGCATCACTGGACACATATACAACTTTCGTCGTGAGTTGTGGCCGTGGCCGTGGTTACCAAAGACACAGAATTTTGTATTGCTCGATCAAAAAAAAAAAAAAACTTAATAACATATTTTTATCCTCCCTTCATTCGTTTTTGCCCGCAGCTTCGTCCATAGAATAGTGACTATAGGCAGATTTTCTTTTGACTTGAGTGTTAACAAATTTTTATTGATAACGAAAAAGTTTCATTATAATCTGTCCATTAGTTTGGTGTGTGCAGAGGTAGATTAAACCTAGACAGCGCTCTAGGCAAGCACCTCTCGCGTCCGGGCCTAGTGCAGGCCATGATGCGGAGCGAGGGGGACTGAGATGCCGTCTCCTCCTTTTGCGAAGCAGTCATGCAAGCTAAGGAGGAGGCGGGACGCGTGAGGCAGCGAAGCGCTGCGTCTTCGCAACCCAGCCATCGCGAAGGACACACCGGGCGTCGGGGATCGCGAGACAATCTCCGGCCACCGTAAGCGCGGGCCTGCGGACGGCGAGCATGGGTGGCTCCCCGTCCGACCAGAAACAGACCCGAGCTTACGGCGCGTCGCGTTCCGCGCGCGCCTCAAAGAGCCATCAGACCACCACACATGATTCGGAGTCGCGGGGAACCTAACAGGTAACCGGGGCTTCGGCTCGACGTGCAGGAGAAGGAACGGGATGGTTTTTAGTCAGTAAGAGTCTGACACTCCCTCCCGCCTCAGCCAGGCGGGAGTAGTCATTCGATGATTTTCCCCTCTTAACACGTTGAACGCCATGGGGGTCACCCGTGACCGGCGTTAGCGGAGGATTTACCTTCAACAGTTTTTTACAGGCAGTCAAGTCAAAGTCTTAAAAAAAAAATCTTTCTTCTTTTTGTAGGCAGGTAAGTAAGTAGGTACCTACTTACGGTATCGGTGGTAATTGCAGTTATACCTATGGTTGGTTATACGCAAATGAATTTTATTTTCAGTTTAGGTAGGTACGTCGCTTATCTTATAATCTTATCTGGAAGATAGGTCCGCAACTCCGGAAATGCGGACGACCTAGCGGGTTGCCGGTGCTCCGGTGCCAATCAGGAGTAGGGACAAGGTGGTTTTACTCAATAAGAGTTTGATAACCCTACCCATTTATTTATTCACAAAAAAACTGCAAGGTACCTAATTATAACAATTATAAACAAGTAAGAAGTAAATAAAATTCTTCAGCATGTTCATTTTAATTTGAATACCAATAAAATAAATTTTAAAACCAGTATGTCATTTTTATGTTGCCATCAATGTCGCGCTGAGTTTCAACGATGCTGGCTTGGCGCACGAGTTTGCGCATTGAACTGCGCCTTATTTCTGGGATTTCTGGCACTTCATCTTCAACTAAGGGTGCCTGGGTCAGTTCTAGCTGATCTAGATTCTCATACGAATCCGAATCAGTCATTTTTCTGAAAATGAATCATGAATCAAATTGGTAACTACTGTGAGCATGGGATTTTTCAAATGTTTTTTTGGATTAATTTTAATTCACAAATACAACAAAACTATAGGTAGGTATGTTACCTATAGTCGGCGTAGGCGGTGTAGGCGATAAGAGCTCAAAACTAAATTTGAATCCAGATGTCATATGTCTAAGTCGCAGGGATATGAAAAAACAGGGATTTGACCAAATTTCGGAAGATGTCAAAATAACAACAAGATTTTATCATTGCCCTAAGCAGATCAATCAGAAACATTTAGTGATTTGAAGAAATCCATAAATTGGTTCAGTGAAACCCCTTCGGGATTTGGGAAATCCCTGTTTTTATCATATCCCTACGACATATATACCACCGATTACTATCCTTTCTAGGTGGGTAGATTACTTGCCAAAATAGCTGTAGAGAACATTACTTTGCGTTATAGTTTAAGTAAACAGAGTTACCTTTGATCTCCACACGCCAAACAGTCCGCGTATGTCCAATCTTTGCCAAACTCTTCTCCTTCCTCGGCAGTTTGAGGCAATGAGGTGTGTAAGGTTTCAGGTAATCGAAGCGCGCTCAAACCTCCGATTACTGAGACCGCACCCATTACAACTAGAGGAAGTACTAAATTGCTTGAACCCTATAATTAAATACAGGAATATGTTGGTAGATAGGTGAAAAGATGATGTGCTGATCCCAAGAAATATAGGACTGGGATAAGGGCAATAAAAAGATGAAGGTACACATATATTTCTACTGTGACATAAGTGCGCAGGTCTCAATAAATAAGTAATACAAAAATATCAATCATATACGGTGCAATTCTAATAATGGAATACATTATTATGAACAGGTAAATTCGTAATCATTTTATGTATGTACCTGTACCTATGTAGTATACACAGGTGGCGCTCAACAAATGTCATAAACTAGGTATGTAGGTATAGTTCACAATGGCATGTCGTTACATTGTTGTGTTTATTTCTATTCATTAATAAACATTACGAATTTATGTGTTGGGTATGCTATTGTATGTATGCTCTACTGAGATGTTTATATCTTGTAACTAACGAATACTTGCATTGTTTTGAAGGACATCAATAACATCACACAAGTCAATATAAATGAGCAACTAATTAAAATGCATGAACAATTTTGTAACGGCTTGGCTGTACAAAACAATATAATTATGATGTAGCTAAATGAGTTTTATTTAAGAATAAATAAGGTACCTACATTTTAAGATAGCTAAGTCGATTATTTTCTTACCAAGTAGTTTATAAACGGTATAATTATCAAACCCAAGCCGCCAATGTATGCCGAAGTTCCAATACCGACGCCTCTCAGTTCCGTCGGGTACAATTCACCGGCATAGGGATATATTAACAAGAAGGACGCAGATATAAAACACTTGGATATTAAATAGAGGATTAAGGTTTCCGTTCGAGCATCTGGAAAACATCGTTGCTATACATACAGGTAATTATTTACAAGGATAAATATCGCCTAATTAATTAGATCATTGCTTACCACTTGGTAGTAATACAGTAACGATACAGAAAATCCCACTTATGACCATTGAAAGACAGAGCGGCCACCTTCTTCCAATGCGATCCATTAGTATCCAGCACACGAGATAACTTGGGATCTCGACAGCTGATGAGAGGAAGAAGCTCATGTATTGGTTGTCGCCTATAGCCGGCCCGTAGTAACTGAGGCCTACGTACACCATCTCGGACGCGCACCAGTTTAGAGTTATCAGAAATGTCTTGAGTCTCATATTTGGAGTACGACACAGAGCAAATACACTCACAGATTTTGTCTCAGTTATCCCCTTTTCCTTTTGCTCTATAACTTGCTTTTGAAGTTTATTAGTAAATTCTTCAGGTAATTCTTTGCCATTGACTCTTGCGATAGTTTTTAATACACTGTTTGCCTCCTCAAGCCGTTCTCTCATAAGTAACCATCGTGGGGATTCTGGTAGAACGAACCAATAAAAATAATAGAAAAAGAAAGGTACTGATGTCGCTAACGCAAGGCTCCTCCAGTCTCTGAGCAGATACGTGACGACTGATAATAAAATCAAGCCCAGTGTGTAAAACACACATGTCATAACTGTGACGAATGATCTGTAATTAGGGCCTGCTAATTCCAGAGCTGCAAATAATAAGTAACTATAATTATAACTACCTATACTTCTATTATTAATTTTCCTTAATTTTTTTTACTTACAGATTATAAAGGGTATCTGATAAACGGCTGGTATAGTGAGTCCCACGATAACTCGAGCCATTATCCAAAACCAAAACTCATAGGCATATGCGGTCATTAGACTTCCAAGAAGTAGTGTGCTAAGACAAATGAAAAAAGATTTCTTTCGCCCAATTCGGTCATTCAAAAGTCCAAATGCGTACACTCCTATTGGTCCTCCAATATTTAGAGCAACCAACCCGAGAGTTGGATAGACATCGTATTCGCAGACTAAATTAAACTGAAAGAAAGATAACAATTTAAGAAATGACACAGTTCATAAAACGCTATTCTTTACGCATTCTTATCTAGTCCACTACTAGTAGGTACATATATACATATTATAATATCTCTTAAGTGTCTGTGAAGACTTACATCGATAACAACAGATGAAAATACTTCAGACATGTCGTATTCATAGCCTTCCCTACAGTGTTCAGTAGGCCAACTCTCATTGACTTCTATAGTTCCACCAATGTGAATGATTTCCGTCCAGTTTACAGCATACCGAGAACATTTTTCAAACGTAACATTATTCTGAAATTTAATTTTGTGTGTTAATTAATAATAATAAGTCTATGTTAAAGTTTTGAATAATTAACATACCTGAAGAATTTTATTCAAGGCTTGTACGACTAAATGATCTTAATTTAAAACTGATTAGATTCACGTTAATAAAGTACCTTTCGTGGAATTGACAACAGCTTACGCTGTTCCTGTGTTAGATTGAGCAGTTCTAGTTCAGGGACTCTGCACCAGTGGTCGGGGATGTCTGTCATGAACAACTGGTTAAACGCACAGAAACCGCACGGTAGACAGGCCGGTAGACAGACGAGCCATAATAGCAGTTTCTGATACAGGCCAAATTCTCCGATTTTAGGCAGCAAGTCGTCCAAATCGAGTGTCTCATTAGCTTCACTGGCCTTAAGAAATTATTATTGAAAATTAAATAAGTTTATGATATTTTTCTGACGAGTGCGTCTGAAATTAGCATGGAAATCCTACTATAGATTGACTTTAAAATGCTGAAATTTATAAAAGCCAACTTCAATATTTATTTTTTTAACAAGTCAATTAACAGAGTGTTTGGTTATATTTATTTCATATGCAGCCGCAGGCAGGAATTCAGGTAAAGTAATGAAACGAACCATAGCTAAACATATTTCTAAATTAGTCATCACAGCACTTAGGGCAATAAAAGAATTAACTGAATCACATTACTTGTTAAACTTAAAAAATATATAAACATAAATACCGATAACTTCTCCTCGGTGCCATAAGTAGTGGTGTTGCTGCCATCTTTCGTCATCACATTCAGTAATAACCGTTAATAATATTTTAACATAAACACATAACACGTAAAATGTCCGTTATTGACGTTCAACGTTTTAGTTTGAGACTTTTGTGTTGGGGAAGGAAGCCATAAAGTATTAATTTAATTAATAGAAACTTATCTACGCATGCGATAGTGATGTTCTATCAGGTTTAACGTGGGACGAAGCTAACTGCTTACTTGCTGAATTAAAGGTACCTAGGAATTTGTAGGGTAATGATCTACTTATTAAGTTATAATAGCTATATCGTGGTTGGGGTAGGTAGTGTATAGGTAACTGTGTATGTAACAACTGTGTGTAAATTGTGTAATGTCTCCTTACAGTGACTTTACGATTAAATGCGAAAGTGTTCTTTTGTTTTTCGATCACTTCGCGATGGATTTTTGTAACTGGAGATGATAAAGAGGCAACAATTTTTCTTTTAACCATATGAGTGCCGAGTGCCGAGTCTACATCATGAATTATTAATAAACTGAATTAAGATCCAGTAATATTAAATTTATAAAATGTGTTTTCTGGAAAATTATATGATGAGTATTTAAAATATTTAGTTCTGTTTTTGAAATCAAAATTTTTTAATTGATTCTGCAAAAAATGGGATACTGCCGTGTATTTAGTAAATTGGACCTCTCTGAGGAAATCTTAGTTGTATTGAATTTCTTTCAAAAACTTGGATCGATCCAGAAATTTTGAATAAACATTTGGTTGGTTGACAGATTGTCTAATTTACACCCAGCAAACATTTTTATTACCTCTATTGGCTAATGCATGGAATATTCTATTTTTTTTTTGTGTGTGTCTAAAGACTTGAAGAGCAGCGGTATGGTGTCGTAACGCTGGCATTAAACAGAACTGGACTACTAAAGAATTCACAATCTTTTAAATCGGCTAATTATATTTGCATTGTAGCGTTTGTGGGGTAAATAAATACTTACGATAATAGGTACCTACAAACTGAAAAATTAAATTGACAAATAAATATCAATGATTGTTTTGTTAAAATATTTTATTTCTGAAACGTAGATAAAATCGATACAAGTAATTAAAATTCTTAGAGACATAACTTATATTCTTTACATAATAATGAAACTGTGAAAATTGTCTTACCAACTGTATATATAAATATATATATACCTTACAACGAATGTGCGCTTTCAATAAGTTTCGTTGTAGGTGTATATAGTACGTATCAACAGTCTCAATCGCACGCTTTCCATGCCAATATTAATAAGTATCTAACATACCATTCATATAGTAATCCTTTCACTATATAAACAATTCGATTACGAGAGAATTGACTTCATAGGTATAAAATGAAGATTAAATCTTGTATAAAAATTCAGTATTCATCGCTAGATTTTTTTACAATTTTAATAGAATAGGAAAATAATGCACATGCATTTAATTTTTTGACTTGTACATATTGCAAGCATAACAACGTATCTACTTACAGGTATGCGTACTTCGTGTAATATTTGTAAAACTTTTAATTAATATCATTATTACTTATATACACTTTCGAAACAAGTAGATACCTATATCTAACATATTTGTGCCTTTTTTATCACTCGGGGTACGTAGTATTTCAATATCTTAATAATCAGCACGAACTATTAAAAATTGACAAATATAATTTATGAATTATTTAAACTTTGACATAGCAACAATAACATTTAGTAATAATAATAACGTCCCCACAACCGACTTCACTAATGGCGGAAAAGTTTTCTGATACCTAATTCGGTCAATCTCCGAGTACAATCTGATCGATGCAGGATGCTACATTACTGCAGGGTGGAGGCTCGACAGCGGCTACAGAACATTGTGAGAGCAGTGTCAGTGTGGCGAGGAGACGACTTCCTCGCAGGCGCCGTTACCATGCTGATTATCTAGTTACCTCCCACTTATACAAAGCGACCACGAATTCATCGAAAACTCTTTCAACAACACCTCAGCTGTTAAAATTACATTAAAGGCGTTAAGCTTCATAATAGAAGGCATAAATAAACCTACAATATGCAGGTTTATAGAACAACGTGCTCCTTACATTCGAAGTTTCCGATTACCGGACACAAAACAGGTTCAATTCACTCCCGCACAAAACAAGTCGAAATAATTAGCTCGACGAAATATTTGGATAATGTTTTCACTCTTGTATCGTCATTCTTTGCACACTTTCACAACGTCAAAGAGAAGTACACTAGCAAATTGAAGTCCTTATTGACAAATAAATACGTTTTCATTGGATGTGTAAATGTAACTCTCGTATGAAAAAGGAATAAAGAATAAATGTTACTTAAACATTTGTCGCACATTAAATAATATTTGGACTATTTCTGGTTCAAAAATTACAAATATTTACAAAAATGTCGTCAAGAAAAGGCGCGTATGCGCCACACGCCGATGCTACGTGAGCAGCTTGAAGAACATGATGCCCAGCGAGATGTTGATAAACAGCACTAGGATCACCAGCTGCTGCCGGGAGAACCAGTCCTTCGAACAAAATAACAGTTTCGTATAAACATTTATACAGATTCTCAATGAAACGTCTTCGTAGCAATTCGTAGTAAGTTCGTAGCAAGTTCGTAGCAAAGTAAAACTTGATACAATAGAATATGGATAGTGAGATGTTGATTTGAGTAAGTGAGTGTCTAACCTTGACTTGCGGACTAACTAAGTAGAGCAGAGGGTTGGCCCTCAGTTTCTCGGTCTCCTCGTGCATGCGGCGCACCTCCTCACGACGTGCCGAGCCGAGAGCCGAGACCTCTTCGCGGGACATGCCGCCGCCGTCAGGCATGCGAGGCATTCCTGCGACGTCCGGCAACGATTTCTTGCGCTGAAGTGTCTGCGGCGTGCTTAGCATCTAAACATAAACATTTGTGATCATTTTTATATACTACAAATAAAACAAACTATTAAGTAATAAGATGTGTATGGTTTTCGCTTCGAAATGTTTCAACAAATGTTGTCTTGTTTAATGCTCATTTTATTTACCATTCATATAAATATCTAGAAATTCCATTAAGAAATTAAAATATGGTATGGTACATGTAGGGTAATAGCCAGCAAATATACATAGCTATTGTATTACTAATATAACAGGTGTTTCTTAAATCATTCATTCATCACTTATTCTTGAGCCACCATAGTTTAGTTACGATCCAGTGAAGAACGACTATATTTTTAAAAAACATACACTTACGTGGTCCTAATTTATAGATAAGTTTACGTTATAATATTTTAGCTAAAAATCTGGAGAGCAGACGAGCAAAATAAATGTTTGTTTAGATTCGCACTAGAGCCGGATACGAGGCGACGAGCGTTTATAAAAACATGTTGATTTATCTTTCGCAGTACTAGTAAATCCCCTGCTCTTTCAATAATACCCAACAGCAAGTATTTGAATAATTTATCATCTATATCTTCAGTTGAACGTATACACATACATCTTTTGACCTTTAACCGACGTACACAGGTACGATGTAACTGTACTTGTGTATATATGTGACTCTCTACATTATTATGTCATTGTTTCTGAGATAATTTAACACAAACTGGTGTCCATTTACAATATACCATTATAGAATACATCATTTAGGGGTAATACGCGAACAAGTTTACCTCGACGGGAGGTACGTTTATCCAGCTTTCAGAAGCTCGCCTGGCGAGGATCGCCGGGGAGCACATAAGGTCTTCTTCGTCATCTTCCTCGCCTTGGTACCACATTTTTATATATTACACAATTTTATATAACTCTACAAAATAACAAATCACAGTTCACAAATTTTTAGCATGTTTTACTGAAAAATTAAGGTCGATAGGCACCATTTTTGTGATATGTGTAGATTAGTATTTTGAATACTCTGGTATAATATTATTCGCAAGAAAATTGATCCCGTGTGTAACTAGCGAAGTATTTTTTGAGATTTAATGTATTTTAGTTATATATAGCGAAGAGGTGATACACGGAAAGCGGCAGCGAGTGACTGTCTCAATTTAGAAATAGAACGGGCTGAGCGCTGAGCTGAGCCCCGCCGCGCCGCCCGCCCGCCCGCCTACTGCCGTGCGCCCGTGTCATTACTAAACTTATTGCAATGCCATTCGTACATCCATCGCGGAGTGACATGTATCACACTCTGATTTTATAATGCCAGCCAATTTTTAAGATAAAAATGCAATTTATTGACAACGAAAGTAATAAATATCGACTTTCCATTCCTCAAATTATCTGCGGTTGTTTATCTACTTGTATGTGAACCGTGGGAAATACATTCATGTTTCTGTTTCTTATTAGTAGTCCCGTATTACAGCGCTTCGTTATTTGAGTGCGCCAGTACCTACCGTACAATAACCTAGGCGACCTTGTTCATAAATTGAGAGCGGCGATTGGCCGAGACTAATGGACATTTACTATCTTCCTATACCTACAATTTAGAAGTAATTAGTTAAGGCGTTAATAATGTATGCATGCAGCTTCTTTAATACAATACATTTAAGATTTGACGTTTATTACGTAGTATTGTTAATTTAAGAGTACGTAGGGCCCACAACTGGAACTGCTACGTAGGGCCTACAAATGGCTACGAGCTACGACATGACGTAGGCACGTTTATGTAACGGTCTGCTACGTATTTTTGTTACGCTAAGGAGTTAGTATCTACGAAAAAATCAGTCATAATGGGGATGATGACAGGGTATGAAAATTAAAAATATAGTTAGTCCGTAAGTTAGGTAATGAAAAAATATTAGACACGTATTTTTTTATTCTGTCGTATAATAAAACAATACGTAGATAAAACGAATCAAAGTTAAGGAGTGGGGGCTAAAACGTCATTTCTTAGTATAAAATGTACTGAGAAGTGACGTCACGCGACATTTCAAATCAATATATATAGATATATCTTCGAAACTATTCGTTTCTGTGAGAAAATAAAAAATACGTGTCTAATGTTTTTAAATAATCTACCAGACGGACATTAAAATAAAAATTAGTCGTCTACCCTATTATATTAACAATAAAGGTAGCTAGCGCAAGTATAAGCGTCGAAATCTTGAAGTTTCTGGTACTGACTTCATTTTTTACCGAAATCATTATAAAATTAATAGTTTAAGAAATATCTGGTTTTGGTTTTGCTAAGCAGAATTTTTGCTTTTTTTTTGGAAATGTAGTGTTTCATTGGCTCTTGTTATTGTTCAATCTAAGAAATTATAGGAAGGACATGACTCAAATTCTAATTTTAATTTAATCGTAAGGTGTACAATACAATTTATAACTTTTTTAGACGATTAAAAAAGATATATTTGTTAAATATTTATATACATACTTACAGATAAATAAAACATTTTTTACAAATTTCTGTCTTGTCTGTCTGTCTGTTTGTTTGTACTGGCTAATCTCTGGAATGACTGGATCGATTTCGCAACAATTTTATTGGCAGATAACTGATGGTACTAAGGAGTAACATAGGCTACTAAAATTCATATTCTATGCAGACGAAGTCGAAGGCCACAGTAATATAATTAATTATGGCCATTAGCCATAGTCGTGGTGGTCCGGAGGTTTAAGACGCCCGCTTCTCATGCACGAGGGTGCGGGTTCGAAACCTACCAACGGCAAGTACCAATGTGACTTTTTCCGAGTTATATGTACTTTCTAAGATTATTCAGACACCACTGACAAACGGTGAAGGAAAACATCGTGAGGAAACCTGGGCTTATAATTTCTAATTATAAGTTTGTAATCGCCAACCCGCATTGAGCAAGCGTGGTGATTAATGCTCAAACCTTCTCCGTGTGAGAAGAGGCTTTGCTCAGCAGTGGGCATTTATAGGCTGTTGATGATGATGGCCATTAGCATATACATGCGAACCTTATCGTATTATAAACAACAAACCAATATTATTATGTATTTAATTTAGTTCGTGGGGCTTTTCTTCGCTTGACTTGTCTCTAAAATACATGTCCATATTATGATTCTTCCATATTGAACAGAGATACTACTGGTATTAAGATTTACCATTCGAAAATGTTCGTACAAAGAATTTGAAATTTCGTCTAGTCTTTATCGGGATGAAATCTCGTCTAGTCTTATGTGATATGCGGAGAAGGGTGTTAAAGGTTTGAGATGTCCATGTGAAGTGGAGTGTGAGTGAGTTTGAGTTCGATTTGATACTTATTATTAAAAATACGGTTCAAGTGTTGATGATTTTCATTGTATAAAAAAAAATCGGTGCAGTTCGATATTTCATTTCAAATTTGTCTAAAACGATTTTTATATTTAAAGCCCTGATTTAATATTTCATGTCCTGACTCTTACATCATTGTTTACACATGGTAACCTTGGGTTGATATTGGTCTATCCTGATCTGGTAGTAGAATGTTATCTACGTCAGTAGGGCGTCAGTAACGCTTGCGTTGTGTTTCATCTAGTGAGTGAGGTTACCGGAGGCCCAATTACCCTCCCCTTCCCCAATCTGCCCAATTACTGAATCCCCAACGATCCTCAAACTCCTAATCCCCAAAAGGCCGGTATCGCACTTGTAACGCCACCGGTGTTCGAGGTGTCCGTGGGCGACGCCGATTGCTTACCATCAGGTGATCCGTCTGCTCGTTTACCGGCTTATGCCATAAAAAAAATATAGTTCAGTTTTAAACAACAAAAAGTAATACAATTGCTTTGTCGTACACAAAGTGAGTCACTAATATATTTTCATGTCTAGAGTAGATTTATCTTCTAGCGCTAGAAGAGTGACAGAGAGATGAAAAATCAGTTAAAGAATTGTCTCAATTGATTTTATCTCTTTATTTTATTTTAGCTCTTCTCCATAATAATATCTATGTTTCGGGACGAATACTTAGCTACACTTTCAAACAAACTGACAAATTTATATTTTGACCTTACAAAATTGCCTGTAGGTGAATTATTTAAAATAAAATAATTAAACGTTGCAACTTATTACAACAACATTTGGAGGTTAATGCGAATGCTAAAAATATGTTAGACTATTCAAACACTTTTAAATTGTGTAAGTGAAATATAATATAATAATAGTACCTATAATAATAGGAATAGTAAAAGTATGAAAACGAATAGGAAAAGTATGAAAATTGGTAGGTAATATTGTATGGAATGTATTTGTGTGTTAGTGAGGAACCTACCTTTCGACCACCTCCGCCGCCTCCTCCACCTCTCATCGGCGCAGGTGGCGGTGGTTCTGGCATCTGAGCCACATACAAACTTTCAGTGCGTTTGGGCTGGTAAGGTGATGGTGATATTTCCTGACCCAGCGTCCTTTTTCTCAAAAGTGATTCTTCAAATGGTTGAGGTTCTCGCGAACCTGCTCGAGATATCGAGTTGCGACCAGAAGCTACGTGACCATTGCCTGCTGGAGTAGCGGCTCGAGATGCCGGCCTAGATGGCATTGCAGGTTGCGGAGCTACTGAGCCAGCGCGAGAGCCTCCACTTGGAGCAGCTTCTACAGATGGTTGGCGCGATCGCCGTCCATATCGATCCACACTTGAATCTCGACTAGGAGGCCTTTTGTAGTGATCGAAGTAATCAATTGATGGTCGCGGTCCTGACGGCCGAGCTCCGTTAACAACATCTTGTTCCGTAGGTGCAGTTGGTCTATAACCCTGGTCAGCAGGTTGCTGTCTATATGCCTGATTGTCAGTAGGCCTATTATACATTTGATCAGGCGCTTGACCATAACCTTGTTGATCATGTGGTTGTCTATACCCTTGAGGATCCATCGTTGGACGATACGCTTGTTGATTGGTCGGCATTGCTTGTCGATCAAAGGGGCCCTCAGAATGTACGGTTCCGGTACGAAGTTCGTTTCGTCCATACGCTGAGGTTCCACCGTCAGTATAAGTGTTACCTTGAGCATCAAAAGAAGGTTGGCCGAGCACACTCTGTCGTCGAGGAGGAGCTTGTGGAGGGTTCCAATCTTGTTGTTGAGGTCGTTGATTTAATTGAGGCCTGTTCATTTGGGTTATGGATATTCGTCTATCTTGATTAACATATTGCTGTCCACTTTGGTCCATACTTTGCTGATTAAACCTATACGAAGAGGCTTGTGGTTGTTGTTGTTGTTGTGATATAGGCCCATATGGATTATTTTGATCATTGGGTATGTATGATTTTTGACCATCAGGTGAAATTTGGGGCGTTGTATTCGCTGACTTCCAATTGTCTTGATTTGATAAATTGTATGGATCATGTGGAGGTCCCAGATTTCTATTGTCTGTATTATAGTTGGAACTATTTGCAAGTCGTGGATCTATGGTTTTAGGATATTGCGTTGAAGATCTCCTGGAAGGTATTGCGTTTGGAGCTCTATTAGGTTGAGGAATCTGTGAGTGCATCGGAGGGATATGATTTGGAATGCTCTTTCCATCCAAGATCTTTTCAGATTCTTGTGGTACGGTCGCTGCAACTTGTGCATCGTAAACCTTTTGTCTATATTTTTCTCTTAATCCTATTCTGTCAAAACCTGGGTGCTTAAAATCTGGAGCGAACTGCTTCGCAGTAGCTTGCGCTATATCACAGTCTTCTTTTGCTTGGTCTGCCGCTTCGTCGGCTTGCTCAGCTTTTCCTCGAGCCGTTGCGGTTCTGTAACAATCGTAGAATCCCGAGTTAAAAATATTTGAACGATTTTTGTAAAAGGTTATTGAAAATAATTAGATGTACTCACCTAGAGATAGCTATGTCAGCCTTTTGTAGTGCAATTTTAGATGCACGTTGCGCCGCATTTACGGCAGAGTCAACACGTTCCCGAAATTTGGCAGACCGCATGAGGAATAAGTGTTTCCGTTTCTGGCTCGTTATGAGTACGTTATTCTTATATTTGCCTTCTTCCCTCGTGCCGTCTCGGAACGTAGTAACACCATATCCGTACTTTTTATTGGCTGACCACTCTCCCTCGTATCGAAGGCCATCGCTGCGCTCGCTGATACCGAACCCAGTGCGTTTGTCGTTTTTCCATTCGCCCATATAAGTTTCTGTGACACTCGCATCCAAATGTTCATCCTGATAAAAGAAGTTACTAACATAAGTTACGAGTTGCAATTTTGTACATTACAAACTTTTCTATATTTAGCAGTTGGTTATAAACAAAACCAAAATGCAAAATATTATTCCCCACATATATGAAAATGTCCGTGCAGTCATCACAGATTTAATTTATTTCCTATTTTTTCAAATCCGGGAATGGCGTCCCACACAATTATAAATATAATTATTACCACGTTAAAATTGTTATCACAAGCTTTCCATTAAGGAAGTGGAGTGTGTCATTGTTAAAAATTACATGGGTTTCAGAGTTAGGATGGTGTGTCATGAAGATGACAACATATTTATTTTGGTTAGGTTTGGTTTACACGTTCATATATAAATGTGTGAGCAATAATTTATTAATGGGTCGGTAAAGATAATTTCGTTCGTGTGGAGCCATGCTAAAGACAGGGATCGGCCCGGGGGTGGAGGGCATTCAAATGGCATTGCATAAACATGCGAACGATTATGTGGGTGATAAATTTGTGATTTAATCCAAATAAGTAAATTCCCACCTCGACCACGAAACTTGCGTTTGAGTTTGTGTGCAAAGAGGCATGAGTCATAGCGGAGTGGGTGCTGTCTACCGAGGAGACCCACGAAGAGCCCGAGCCCCCCGAGCCCCCCGAGTGGACCGAGCCCGTGCCGGCCCCGTCCAGGTCGCCGACGCTGCGCTGTTTGCGCCATTTCTGAAAACATTATATGTCGTCTTGTTAACACCTGTTTTATACTTGTTTTAATGGACCTACGAGTAATCAGTTTAACTATTTTGAATTTTGGTTTTGTTTCCTCGGTTTTCCGAGGTGATTAGTTAACTTATGGCGAATAATCACTAAATTACCCCATTTACTTAATTAAGGTAATCGATTGCATCGTATGCAAAGATTACCACATATATGTAGATATAATAGATAAAGTCACCTTCTTTCTCGTAAGTGTTCATTTATGTTACGAAGGGTATTTTGCTTATATTTACGTTGATAAGTAAGTAAGTTAATTTTACATGAAGACAATCTGCATCAGACCAATGTCTGGTGTCTACTGTTTTCACTTTTTCATTATTTATTTTTTCATAATTTTGCTATATGTATTCCTTTAAACCGACTTCATTTGTCACTTATTGTCGTAGTTTAAATGTTCGTAAGTGTAAGTAAAGTAGGTAATAAACACGTATCTCCGTTTTAGACTGCGAAAAGCGGATGAAAAATAGTAAAATTATATTTTGTTAATGATTTTAACTTTCTTTGTAAGCGCAGGCTGAACTTACGTGGAGCAGTCCTTTAGGTTTTCCGACAAGCGAGCCGCGGCGTCCCGACGGCTGGTCGGATCTGACGGTGAGCACGAATCCACCACGGGCGTCGTCCATGCGGGTGGTGCGCTGCTCCGAGGGGTCAGCGCCGCCCTCGTTGAGCGAGGACATGGAGCCACGGTGGCCGCGCGCTCCGCCTCGGTAGTGCGACGCCAGCCCGAACGGCGCCGACGTACGGACTCCGTACCCGTGCCGCAGCCCGCGCATCCATTGTCCCTGATAAGTGCCTGGAATCAAATTCATTACTTTTATCTTTCTGATTAAGATTCTTACATAACATATCTAAGTAAAACCTCACATCTTTGAAAAGTAAAGTTTGCTTTAGACACAGGTATAGTTTTTAAAGTATTTTGTTAAACATCTATGGAAAGGGCCACAACATAAAATCAGTAGTTTTACAACCACTCATTTACATGACATGTGTGATAAGCGTCAAAGTCCACTATCGCCTACTAAGTATGGTGTAGAGATAAACCACTTAAAACGAGACGGAAGCCTGACATGGTTTATGATAATGCCATTATAGCTACCGTGCAGTTAAAAACAGATAATGAAAATACTTATGGTTCGATTACCGACAATCGCACAATAATGGCACCAACGTACATCGGCAAATGCGATCATGCGATGTAAAGACGTCATCAGTTTTCCGATAGGTCTTTCAATATTAGGAACAGACTGAGCTAATCTATACAACGCCGCGCCGTACGAGCAGAGTCAAGAGAAATGCTTTTAAAATGAAATGACGCCAGTCGTTTCCCTATACTTACTACGAGTTTATCAGGTACTACATTCTAATGGTGTTCTACATCCACATTTAGCATAATCATATATTTACATATAAGCTGTTTCATAAAATAGTACCTAGTTCAAGTAACATAGTAATAAAAATTGAGGAATGAAATGAAAAAACCTTAATAAATAACTACCTACCAACAGAATAATTCAATTTTTTCTCAACCACGGAAACAGGTTCAATATTTCCCTAAAAAACTAAAAGTGACAAACCCAATTTTTGAGTAAAGATTCTACTAACTCTTATTTAACACAGAATTAAATATGCGATGTAATAAAATTTGACTTTTACTGATGTTCCACATCAATCACTTGAAAATCCGAAAGAAGTATTGCTCTATGGCACGACTTATTTCTCATAGTCAATTGCACTACATCGTCAAGCACTGGATGACGTCAATGGCATTCATGAATGTAATGTCTACCACGCTTTCCGTACCTACTCAAAGGTGTAAAACTGTGTCAAATCATATATTTCCTGTGTTTAAAACATCCCGTCAGCTGTAAACCTTTGCTTACAGGAAAAGCAATAATGATCAATCAGTTCCTAATTAATGTCACTCGCTTTAAATTTTCCTAACACGCTTTACATATTCGCTCAAAATGTTCGGCTGAAGGTGGTAACGGTTCTTAAACCATTCTGGCTCGATGAATCTAGAAAAATGATGTTGTGCCATTGTAGTAATTAGGGTGTGATTGTACAGTTAATTTTTGTAGTGCCTAGTATTAAACGAGTGGTCGACATGATTGTGTGTCGAGGCGGCGCGGCAGGCGTGCCTGTGCTATATTTAAACGGCGAGGGCCGCGGGCCGGTGCGTGGCGGCCGGCAGAGCACAGGGCCGCCTCACTCCAATCATTCATCGAGAAACCTACTGAGAACTTTCATATCAATACACCCGAGTAAGTAGGCTGCGGAGATTGATGCAGTCATTGGAAAACAAAACCAACTCGTTTATAATTATAATATAGCGTTACAAAATGTCTTCATGAGTAAGACAGATTTCATGAGGAAGACATTACAGTTAGTTGCCCCAGTAGCTCGAAAGTGTGTCAGATATAAATTTTAATGTGATTAATTTGTAAGAAAGATGTGACTTTCTACACTCATTCCGTCATTTTATATGTTATAATATGTATAATAGCATATACCTATGCTTATATAGTTTTATTATACACGATTATTGCACCCGGGAAGTAATGTTTTATAATTCATCAAATGTAAGCAACGACTTTACAAAAATGAGAAACACAATATACTAATTCATCATTTTCATTTCATGAATGACAAATATCTTTATTGAGGGCATGATTCAGCCAGCAGTGGAGTAACGTCGTCAGAAAACATGTGACTTTCACGCACGATACTCATTATTACCTGAACTTTGTCCCATTTTTGTTGGACAAATGTTATTGGTTAAATTATACCACAATTGAAAGTGATTATTGTCAGTCACTTGGCACAACATGAATAAACGACATACGAACTTATAATACACGTGATGACATTGATAGGTGCATACGCAGTTGAAATATTTAGAAGAGAAACAAAACCATATAAGTCCACGGAAGTATACACGTTGCGTTCCATATGTCGCGTGCTTTTAACATAATATAACTAGCCTAGTGTAGATACGTATGAGTACAGTTTACTCGTAGGTATGCTTAGTAAGAATTTATAATGTTAACGTTGTGTTGCTTACAGATATTATTTTCCAACAGCAAACATTGCGCAAGTAAAAGGGTTTCCTTCCTAGTTCACGCCATTATAAACTGGGTCATGCGGTGAACACCGCGTATGCAACAAATAGTTATGAAATTATTTCAACTAACTATGCAAGTAGCGTCTCGAGTTAACCCGGATTTCAACGGATATTTTCAGATTAAAACAATAGATTTGCGTGTTATCATTAGATTAACAATATGTAATGTGTTCGTAACGAACGGATCTACCTACCTAGGAATGCCATGGCCATGTAAACGTAATGTATTTTCGTCTGAATTCCAATAGTTTGGCAATGAAAGAAATTAGATAATACTAACCGCCATCAGCGTATGTTTCCGAGCCGTAACCGTCTTGGAGTCCATTGGCCCACGTGCCCTCGTACTTGGCGTTGCTAATGGTGCTCTGTCGCACGCCGTAGCGGCCCTTGTAGCCCTGCGTCCACTCGCCGCGGTACAGCCAGCGGTCGCGCGTCTCCACACCGAGCCCATGCCGCTTCCCGTTCTGCCATTGACCCTCGAACGAACTGCCGCTGTAAAGTAAACACTTCAAATTATAACAACTGTACCTACTAATAAATATATAATTATTTTATTTGTCACCAAGCTTTCAATACGAACTTTTAACGGTTAACAATAAGTCATATTGTATTCGGAGTAAGATAAATTATAATGCCTATAGATATAGTTTAAATCAGTGTAGTAGAATCTATAAGAAAAAAAAGGTCAGGATTTGCTTTTTAAATCCGCTGCTGGACAATAGAACAAATAAGTTGATGTTCTCAAGGTAGTTAACTAAAGTTAGGATTAGTTACTAATACACTGCTAGTTGGCAGTATGTTAAGTAGTCAGTGATAAAGTCTATGATGTCCAGTCTAAAAATAACACAAATTAAAGCGTCGTTAAAATCAGATCGGTAGAAGGTGCGTGAGTCATCTACGAGTTATTTTAAACAATAATATCAGGTAGGCGTTGTTAGTTTTTTGATATACAAATTCCTACTAAACTTTTACACGTTTGTATAATATTCCTTTTTAACTATGATATACTTTCTTTGTACTAAACCTCCACGTAGTGAGTAGAGAGGGTCGCGTTCTGTTTCAGACAAAATAGTTTATGCTAGCAGGTATGACGGTCGCAGCCGAATAAAAATTGGGTCATTTGTACTCATTTCCATGTACAACAGAGCGTCTTAGAGTCAAATGCGTAGAATACACGGGTAATTAAACAGCCTGATATACTAGGGCGTATACTCCAGACTGAGAATAGCGTAATCTCATTGGAATCTGAATCGCTTGAATTTATTTCTAGGCATAAAATGCCGTAACCCAAGACTGAAATCAATCGTAAAAGTTGTGTGGAATCATATATCAACTTTGGAAATTCCAATGCGTGGCATATCTGACTAAGATTTGGATCATTGCAATAGTTTTGTTATACCCTTTATTATTTAAAAAATCTCGTAGACGCTGCGTAGGCCATTTCGTAGCAGTTTTATACTACGGAATTTATCCCATTGCTACGCAGAGTGCTACGCAAAACATGATAGTGTATTGAATGTAGATTTTTGTGATATTTTATTTTTATGATAATATAGGTATGTACATCTCTATTATTAAATACCTACTTTACTCGAAACAATCTTACACTTACTTCTCTCGAAAAGGGCTGAGGCAGAGAAGATTACGACTACAAATGTTTTTACACTTTCAAGTCTTGACAGATCGTTTAATATAAATAAGTGGAAACGGAGGAAGTCTATTTAACGTTAGTAGTGGTAAATATCAAGTAGGCAGTGAAGTTTTGATAAATTACTTATAAAATTCTTATAACAATGCAGAAATACTGCTTACTCAGAATATTACTTGTAGTATATTTTATTTATGTAAGTCTGATAAATGTAGTGTGCGTAGGTGAACAACACTTCATGAGGTCAGCTTGAGAGTGAAACACATTTACCTCGGGTCGTCCAATGAATGTCCTCACAGTTGTCAAATACTAGATAACAATAGAACAAATCTTTTCCCGGTGAAAGACAAACCGATTCAGTTGCCAAAGCTATTTTTTTATAGAATCAAAAGTTGGAAGCAATTATTTGAGTAGAGACTGAGGTACATTGATTGAATTGTGAGTTCTTTAGCTACTACATATCGAGTACTGAATTACAACAGTTTCGACACGTGTCAGTGGTACTGAGATCCCTTTCAGTTTTTATTAGTTGCGGTAAGATAATGGATTGGTCTGTTGTGCACATGAGTACGGTCGGAACAACTCGAGCCTAACCTCTATTTATATCGCACGCTACACGTACGTTCTGCGGTAACGTAACTGAATATTACAAGTAAAACCAACAGACTTCACTGTAAAGAGAATCGACCTTGAGCACACAAATGAGGGCCGGTCGCTAAACCTCTGTAAATTTTCCAATGACAGTAATATCTATGAATATATTTTTAGGCATGCTTTGATATAATTTATGGTGAAAGATAATTAACACTGACATTTACGACGTGAATTACCGTCGTGCACAAAAATGTAGTTCGACAGCTACGCTGACATCGATTGAGTCACCTCCACAAATTTTAGTGTCCGAATGAGAAATATATTTTAAAAGAGAGGGCGTTGCATGTCTGGCTACTTGAAGCATAATTACTAACCACCATTAGCTTTGCTTTGTATAAGGTTATTATAATGCGTTTTTATTTATTCAGAATGTGGTCGTGCGCATACGTAGTACATAATTAGGTTAAGTACACGAGTCCGCCGGAATGTATTCTATGAGCATATTACGTGTGCGGTTGGTGAATATTTTGTTCAAATTAAAAATAAGGTTTTACCTGCTACCTAAAGCTTATTCCATTATTATTAAATTAGTAAATCCCATCAACGTCTGCTGTAGCAGGCATATTGTAAGTTATTTACACATGAGTCACGACCTTTCAGCCGCTCTGGAGTCTCGGAGCTCGTTAAATTTTGTGAATGTTTATAAAAAGTCACTACGTTGTTTGTCCATCTATCACTATGCACATCGAAACAAAATGAAGACCTTACAATAAGGAGAGACAATCTTTTTGGTGTACCTATACAAAAAATAGCACATTGTAATATTTTGGGAGAAGTACTTAATCGCTCTGCAACACTTTGTGATTGAAACGATTCAAAATGCTTTCGACACAAATTGAGCAGGTACAGAGAAACCGTCATTTACCAACATATACAAATAACATAAATACGTACATAAATAACATACGTAAAAGTAATCAGACACCATTTAAATTTACGGAAAATTTTAATTTCAACAATTTTGCTACTTGCCACAGTGCAAAACGCGCGCATTTTTCTTTATTTTTGGAGGTTACACTGCGCAACTGACTATCATTTGAAGATTGTTTAGCCGTAAATATTGTGTCAGATGATAAAACAAAATAAGTTTTGGCACGTCATATCTATATTTTTATACATGAAATGTATATATAAAATGTGAGATTGTTACTTCAATATGTTACACGTCGTTATATAGAGGTAATTACCTACTTATTTTTTTAACCGAGGGAAATCTCTGTTGTCGGAAATTTAATGATCACCAGATCTGATTGCATAGTGATTTTATTTTATATAAATAAATAAACGCAAATATATCCTGCCCTACCTTTTTGTTTCAATCATCATTACTACAAAACCTAGGTATATGTATCACACTCTTTTCAGAGATAATTTACATGAAATTGAATGCGTACATGTAAACGCGTGGGCCTAATAATCGTTAAATTCATTACACAATAAGTATTCGGTATAACCTTCATTACGTGTAAAAGCTGGCTGTTACTCAGACTAATGCTGCCTATAAAACCGTAATGTTTATATACCACTACACCTACCTCATAATTTGTCACAAAAACTTCTTTTATTCAGACAACTGCCACTAGTTAGTTCGGCACTCGCACATGTAAATGTAATAGACAACATTTTGGCGCTGTTTGTAACGAGTACGTAGACGAACAATAAAACTATGTAGACTAAATAACTGTTTTAAAAGCTTTTCCAAGTATTTATTTTTACATTAACAAAATTTAACAAGCTTCGTGACTCCACGTTGCCTCGTTAATGTTTAAAATGACAAAACACTTTTGAATTTAATTACTTACTTAACTTTCAGTTTAGTCACTCGCGAGTTATTAATAAGCCGTTGCTTTTTTCAAGCATTTTCAATTTTCACGGGGTTCTTTTTTATGTATAAAAATGGAACTTGACTCATTTCTTTCGTAGGCCCCAATACTTTTCTATGGATTTTGTATAAGTATTCTTCCTCAAAATTATCTAGAAGAGGTCGAAAATAAAGTACTTACCTAATTCGTGAAATTAAAGTTCAAGTTTAGTATCGTTTTAGACATTGGTTCATTCCAAACCAGTTCCAGTTCGGAAAATTAATTTTTAGAAAGAGTTAAAATATCACACTGCCTTCTATAAGTACAGACATAAAAAACTGAACAGGCAAGAGTTGCGCCACCATCCTTTGTAAGCAAGGTAACTCGACCGTGTTTCACAGAAGTACACATTAAAAATACGAAACCGAATAAACTTGAGGAAATTTCATAATTTTCAAACTAAAAGGTTGTTTCATATCATCGCTCCAAGAAACTTTGAAATCTTTACTAAAGGCAACATTCTTATGAAAGTAAAATTATTGTTAGGTAACAGGGGAATTTGAAAAGGTCCCAACTCTTGTTTCGTGATCTTTTGTTTACCCAATTTCAATGTAAACAAGCCCAGTATAAATAAACTTTCATCACATTGCGTTGGGCAAGTTACACCCGAATATAATAAGTAATTATACAAACAAAATATTACGAAACTTGGACAGAAACGAAAGATGTAAATCAAAATTGATTCATTTGTTGTTATATTGTTTCCAAATTCCACGATAGTAAGTAAAATAACAATTTAACACACCAAACTGGAATTAGAAGTCGTGTAAGTTGGATGGTTTCAGAACAATTTGTACAATTGACATTTATTTATTTAAATAGGATCTTCAACAGAGAATACACGCAACATACACAGTGTTAATGCAAAAACAGATATCTAGTGCTTCTCCAATTATTTGAGATCACGACATGCAAACAAAATAGTTCCTAATTGTGAATATAAAAAGTCGAAAATAGTTTAATCAAGAAACAAAACAAACGATGTAAACAGAAATCAATTATAATGAAAAGACAAGTTAATAACATAAATCTTGTAAAAATTATTATGGATAGACTACGTTAATACACTTACGTTGAAATACTCAGACGCCACTCAATTATGAGTCGCACTTACCTAACTATAGTTCTGTCTCTACAAATTCTTTGTAAAATGACAGAGATGGCACGATATTTAAATACAACTTCAAATTAAGTACCTTTCAGTATTCGGGCGTATGACACCATCAAACATTAACTATGTATTGATACTTACGTTTTAAAGCATTCAGTAAATATAGAGTTAATAATATTGTAATAATTAAAAAGTAGATAATATTCTATTCATCAAA